TATCAGATAACATCATTGATAATAGCATGGAGTGTCGAAAACTATTATTTAACACAATATTGAAACTAACGATACAAAAATATTAAATATTAATATTAAAATATTAAGTWCAAGTCATAGGTAGTTAAAAATTCATAGTATAAAATATTATCTTCATAAGTATAATCAATACTATAAAAACATAATATTAGATGCTGGACGTAACTACACAATGATATCAAAAAATTTCAATTTTCATCATGTGTTATAAATTGGAATAAAAAGTAATATGAGTTTAAAATCTAAAATCTTTTATGTCTGAAAAGGGCCCCCTAAATATGATGATAGGGCTCTTTTGGGGGTGCCATGCACCCCCAGCACCCCCGCTAATTGCGGCACTGACTATCAATAAATATTAATATCCTCTAATCACACAATATTATTACAAAAATAATTATAGTTATAACCTGTTTTAACTCTCATACTTTCCTGTAAACATAATATTATTTTAATAATAGTCTACTAGTAATAAATGTATTATTATTTGTTACAATATATGATTGTTTTTTAATTTATGGAATATTTATTCACAGATGGGTATAGCATAATCGCTGTAAACACTACACTAAATTGTTCATTATTAGGCAATGTAAATTCTAATAAAAAAAAGAGAAAATTTGCAGAATGTAATGATGAAAATGATGAAGAAAAAGATTGGGTTCCTACACCCAAGTTAATAAATGTGAGTTTGGTGATTTATTATATGTAGATTATATTAATTGGCTAGTAACAGGCAAAAATGGTTAAGTGACAACTAATTATTTTTTTAATTTATTGAGGATACATTTTACAACCCACATTAACATTGTTCTCTGTACATATTTTAATCACATCCTTTGTAATATATTTCTTTGAAAACTAGTCAATTGTAAGCTATTTTTACTATATAATTTTTACCATTATTTGAAGAAAAATTGTTCTTTCTGATAAAAAAAATAAAAATATTTATCAAAACCCAAAAATTCTATGAAACAAATTTAAACAATATTAGCAATACAAACATTGTATCAAACCCTTCCCTCCTAAATGTATATATTTGGTCGTAGGTTAGTAAATAGTATTATATTTAAATTAAGATTTTTTTAATAATTGATTCTTGGGCCAGAGAAGACAGAACCACTTTCACATAATTGTCTTATAACATACAAATAATTATTATATATACTTTTCATTACATTTTTCTCTTTTAAAATGTTTATTAATAACTTCCTGTTATAATATGTAAAATAAACAATGATACAAATAACTTAATTAAGTTAAGAATTTAATAATTTCAAATTTTAAAGAATTTATGAAAATATGAAAATTCTACACTGGGCCCTTTAATTATATCATATACAGAGTGTCCCACGGAGATCTGACAAATGAAATACCTAACTTTTGTTTTAATCAATATATTTTTTTAAATGTCTTTTAAATATAATTCATAGACACTTGCGCTACATTTTTTTATTTTTTAATACTGAAAATAAAAAACTTAAAAATTGATACATTTTTTTTCTCAAAAATATTCATTATAGCCAATTGGTAAATCTGATTTTCAATAAAATTTATATAGTAAAAACACTTATTTAAGTCAAATGGCTGATTTTTAAAAAAAAATTTTAAATATAGATATTTTTGTTAAATAAATTACGATCTAGTTTATGTTATAAATATTTTGTATAAACATTTTATAGGTTAATGTGAAAATCTAATTAATTTTTATTGTATCTACTATCTTATTATAATAATATTATTTGGTCAGTAAACTCATTTTTTGAATTAATTGTTTCTAACATAAATTTGATCGTAATTTACTTAACAAAAATATTGATATTTAAAAAAATTGTAAAAAATCAGCCATTTGATTTAAATAAGTATTTTTACCACATAAATTTTATTAAAAATCAGATTTACAAATTGGTTATATTGAATATTTCAAAAGAAATTTTATCCGTTTTTAAGTTTTTATTTTCAGTACTAAAAAATAAAAAATAAAATGTATTCTAAAAATGTAGCGCAAGTGTCTATGAATTATATTTAAGAGAAATTTTTAAAAAATATTAATTAGAACAAAAGTTATTTCATTTGTCAGATCTCCGTGGGATCAGTCATCTACATGAAATGAATAAAATATAATTCTAATATCAATAACCTAACTTACATTCTATATTTCTGAAACTGAATGATAATGCCAGGGCTTGTATCTAGATAGATTGACAAAATTGTATAATGACATTTACTTTATTATATACCATTAATTAAAAATCACACAGAATAATTCAGAGCTGATAATCTTTATTTTAATTGGCATTATTTACTCATTTATATTTGTTTACAGAACTACTAAATTATATTTATATTAAGTAGTCTATAGTATAAATCAGAAAGTTACATTAATAAGAATGATACAATAGGGAGTTGCGACAACAGTTAAGTACTACAATAACATTGTGAATAAAATGTACATTTATGACTTTGTGATAGTATTAATGTGTGTGGTTAGGTTAATCTTTTAATTTAAATTCCATGTGTACTACTATAGCTTAATCTATTTAACTTCTGTATATCAACAGACAACTTAAATTTAATGAATTTTTTACATGGTTTGAAATTTAATTAATTAATAAATTTTAAATTTAAATTTAAAAAAAAAATTAATTTTGTTATTTATGTTACAAAAGGTTCAGTTTACCTTAGTACTTTAGTGCTTGTATCATAGTAAAAATAGTATGATTTATAATTTGTTTTAAAATTTAATTTAAATGTATTTCATTTTTATTTAGGATAATTACTCCAAATTAACCATTCTGAATCGTTTGACCATCCAAATAACAAATATTGGACAACTGCAAAAAATTGTAAGTAAAAAAATAAAATAATGAATACAATAATTACTGAAATTAACTAATTGTATTATTTTTGTATTTTAGTTGAGTTCTCAAAATTTCAAATTGTATAATATTCTAGCAGTAGAACCATTAAATGATAAAATTTTTCAGGTATGAATAATATTAAGTCGTAATTAATAAATAACTTTGTTACTTATTAATATATTACCTTCAGTACCAATTCTTGAGGAATTTTTGAATTATTATTCATTTAGATACATATAAATTCAACTGTGTTTAATAATAATAATAATTATTATTTTGGCGCAGATTAGAAAGGTAACATTTTTTCTTCAAAAAACATAGTTATATTAATCATTGGTGCTATGGACTACCTTAATAGTATCGACACGGTATGCAAATACATCGGAACATGCATATGTCTTGTAACTACTAATGGTAGTCATGGACTCATGGTTATTAATGATATCATTTTCTGTGTCACACAATAATCACATGACTCCCAGTCATAAGATATATGTCAATATATAATTAAAATTTTAGTACCTACATAAATATAATATAATATAATAGATCATATGGATAACAATATAGATTATAATTTTTTATTTATGAGTTTTATGGCATAATAGTGGCAGTCAAATGATTTTGACAAGGGGGATATGACCGATGTTTTAATATGCACTAGTTGATTACTATTATCAGGTCTAAAAAAATTGAAAAAAGCAATGGGAATCTATACCTCTTTATCCTGTACTCATTTGACTGATAATGTGGTTAATTAACTAATCATTATACAAATAGATAAATAATGTATAATATTTATAAAAAGGAGCAAAAGCTCCTTAGCTCTCCCTTAGATTTGGGCCTGATAATATGAAATCTTCAGAGTTACTATTACTAACCCACCGGATGATAGGTTTCTCGGTTTATATATTATATAAATATAAAGTGAAAATGAATTAAATTATTAACATTTGAAAATTAAAACCAAGTTATTATAATAATTATTTTTCTCTGAGAGGACGTTACACAGGTATTTATCTTACAATTGCGTAACATAGCAAATGTACTCTAGGTAGATCACATTTTGCTTCGTTAGTTAAATTAAAGTGAAACAGCCTATTATAAAACTTGATAGTAATAACATTGCTATGTTTGTATATGGGATTGTTTATCATAGCTTAATTTTTTAATAAGTTGTGAGTATATGATATGGTTTAAATTATAAACTAACTCACTTAAAAACTGAATTATTATAAAAAAAAAAGTCAACATACTAACACAGATAATGTTATTAGTTGTTACCATCAAGTTTTATAATAGGTTGTTTCAAACTAATTTTTTAACTAACAAAACTAAACATGATATTATGCTGAGCGTAAATTTGGTATGCTAATTACTTGTAAAACAGGAAAAAAATGTTTGTATAATGTCCACTTAAATGTTATGATATAATATATAATATATTATTTTAAATTTTTTAGGACATAGTCACTTCACCATCAGTTGATATAATAACTTGTAATATGAAAACATCTATAACTCCAAAGGACTACACAATTGCAATTGAAAAAAACATTTATTTTGAAATATCCTATTGTCCAATGTTATTTAATTCAAATATACGTCAAGATACTTTTACTTTAGCTCATCTACTTTATATTAAAGGAAAATCAAAAGTAAATTAAAATACTTTAATTTAATAATTTAATTCTTGTAATTATTAAACTTTTCACCTGTTTCAGAACTTAATAATTACAAGTGGGGCAGCAAATAAACTAGACATACGCAATCCTCATGATGTGATGAATTTGTATCCTTTAATAGAAGTTTTCATTGATTAATAAGTTAAAAATATTGATTTTTAAAAGCAATTTTCTAAAATAAAACAGTGCTCAAAACGGACCAGAATGCACCAGATAGGCAATCCACAAATGCTCATAAATAGTTTGAAAAAAATACAAATATTGTGGCAATTATTTTAAGACCTTAATTTCTTAGGTACCTAAAATATGTGTTTATATCAGATTTGTAAACATAAATTTAAATTTAAAATTAATTATCATGAGTTGGTCATATGAATATGAATATGACCAACAATACAAATGAACAAGAACAACATATGTTGTCAGCATTACGGTTCGTAAAATTTGCAATTTCGAGCACTGCAATTAAATAAAACATTGATTTATGTTGTAATAAATCTATGTCTTATTTTTATTAATGCATTCAAATTTGTTGCTATGTCTAACCATATTTTGTAAACTACATTACAAATTTAATCGTCTTCTGTACATGTTTATTGTTATTCATTACTTCAATAGTCTTAATAAATATAACTTGACTATGAATTCAGAGGTATTTTACTAGGTCTTTCTAGAAAACTATCAATGAAATCAATCACTCAAGGATGTTATTCAATTATTTTAAAGAGCTGTATGTTTCATCTTTTCACTATTTTATTAACACTAAACTATAAATAATGTAAACTTTGTATTTCAGATGGTCGAAAATTAGGAAAGTCTGCGATACATTTAAAACCTGTGAATAACAATTCTTAATATTACAAACAATTTTTGACATATATTATTGGATTGATATTAAGTTTTGAATGTATTATATATATAATATTAATTAATTAATTATTTATTATTATTATTTACCTTTTTATTGTAAAATTCTGGTAGTACTATTCAATACAACACACACACACTATGAAATACATTAATTTTTAATTAAGCCTAATAATTGTCAGCTAATAATTAAAATGTTGAACCTTGTTATTAATATTAACATAGAAATTAGTTCTATTTGGACCAGATTCTGTTTTATTACATTATTATATTTAGTATATTAATTAATTATCAGCTTTCAAAAACACTAATAATATATTTTATTTTAATTAATTAAAGTGATATATATATATATTTTACACATTTTTATTTAAATATTCTCTGCATTTAGTGCCTTACCTATAAATATGTTTTTCCCATTGTTATCGGTGATAATGAGTTATAAAAACGTGTCCGTTTTTTCAATGTTTTTTCTTTTAATTTTTTTTTAAACAAAATTTTAAATTTAAATACAAACAATATAAATTATTTTTTAATTAATTCCTAATCTTATAGATTTTTCTACTACTCTTCAATGATTGAACGTTTCTATCTTACTTTTTTGATTTTCAACTTTCACTACCTCTTTGTTATTTTTTTCATCATCATTTTCATCCAAACTTAAATTATAGCTATTCACTTTTTTCATAAATATTGTATTCCGCCTAAGTATTTTACCCTTTTTAGTTTTTATCCTTTACCTAATATGATCTTGGTCAATTAGTTTTATTCGCAACAACAGCTTTGGACCCTAGTTTTGAAACTTTATCTTGTAACAGAATATTTTCATTTGGTTTAAACTCTTGTTCAACATTAGTAGGTGTTTCATCATACTAGTATTTTTGTACTTTATTTGCTACTGAGCAGTCAATTACATCAGGATTAAAATTTTTTTTTATTTAATCTATTAGTTTTTGATCTTAATACTCTATTTTGTAACATCTGTGCTGGAGATCAAGGAACGCCCGTTACTATAATTGAATAGATATAAATTTAAATCTTGATTCTCACTTTTAGACTTTTTTTTATCATGTTTTTTAATTCCCATTGCTTTTTCTGCAAGGTAATTGCTTTTGGGATAATTGGGACTCTACGATGTTATATTATTATAATATCATATGAAATTATATATAATAATAATTTATTCAGCAATAATAGTTTACAATGGAAGATATATACATATTTGTAATTATATTGCTTTGCCCATCACTAAGGACAAGTTCCTTGTTTTGATGGTCGAGAGTCTCTAAGAGAGAGAAAAAAAGAAAAATTAATTAATTATATGAATGAATATAATAGTAATATAAATAATTGGATAAGATAATGATAAATATAATTGTTGCTAGTAGTTAATCATACAATTATATGAACAAAATAGGATAGTATAACGAGGTATAATACAAAATAAATAACTTAACAAAAAATAGATAAAATACACTCATATAACTGGTTCATTGTGTAATAACCATCTCTTTATAAGAAACTTAAAGTTTTTAAATTTATCGTAATTTATTATAATGATAGGGAGCCTTTCATATAGTCTCAATCCCGTTATGAAATAGCTGTTATAATATTTAGATGTGTTTATTTTAGGAAATATTAGATTTTCAGATCTTGTATTATGATTGTGTGTGGCACTGTGGCTGTTTGTTCTAGATTATTTTTAAAGAGGTAGAATAAAGTTTTTTAATGGATAGGAGTTTAGTGTCTGAGTATAATTGTTTAGTAGGTTGAAGTCTAGGTTTCTGAAATATAATTTTTTAAATGGTATTTTGGGCTACTTATAAGTTGTTTGTATATGTTGAGGATCTTCTCCCCAAGCCACAATACCATTTCTATTATGGATTGGGATAGGCCGGATAGGGCAAAGTAAGTATTTTTTAACCAATGTGTGTTAAGAAAATGTTTAGCCATATTATAAAAGGCATACAGTTTTCGCAATTTTAAATTAAGTTCAGCGGTGTGTACGTTCCAACGTAGATGTTGGTCGAATGTATACTCCCAAGTATTTGGATTGATTAGTCCTGTGAATGATAGGGCAATTACATTGTATATTCTGATCACGATTTGAGGCATGAGTCTTTAAAGTAAAAAATAGTGATGGGTCGAACTGTTCGAATCTCGAACCGAACCGAACCGAACCCTTGATGTTCGGTTCGGTTCGAAATTTGAACTAGGTATGAAAAAAATTCGAACCGAACTATTAAGTATCCTTTATTGTCCGAAAATCGAACTTGAAAATATTTGTCGAACCAGGCTTACTGACCACAATAGTTCGAA